CAACATCCGTCTCTAGCGCTACACCTAACAGACCGCGCCCTCAACCCGATCCTCACCTCGGCGCACTCCCAATCCCAGCTCGAGGCCCTCACATCGCTGACAACGACCTCCCTCACCGCGCACGCCGCCGCGAACCGCTTCTCCCTTGGCCCCGCCCAGCGCATCATCGTCGAGCACGGCCCCGGCAGCCCCGTCGTCCTCTCCTCCTTCCTCAACGGCGCCGACGCCCTCCCCAACGGCGGCGAGACCTCCGCTGCTGCCTCAGCCGCTGCCGCCGCCGCCGCGGCCAGCAACAACACCCCTACCGCGTCGAGACCCGTCACCTCGGGGCCTTCTTCCGCGACGGCCGCGACGCCGGGCGGCGCTGCCCAGGGTGCTGCTGATACCAAGACGAACGACGCGGAGAACGCCGCCCCGATGCTCGTCGGCGTCGTGGTTGCTGCGACAGGCGAGGAGGCTATGGAGGCCCGTCGTGCCGCGGGACGGTTGGAGAGGGTGGGACGTGAGTTCCAGAGGGAATGGGCCGCTGAAGAAGGGACTGCTGCTGCGGAGGAGAGTCAGTGAAAGCCCATGCAGGCCTTGCGAGATTTCTAAATCTGTGGTGGAGAGGAGCGAAAGAAAACGGCTCCCAAAGTTGACAGCGCAATCTGGCGCGCACGATGGCCGGGCGGGCAGGATGATGGATGGCATTTGGTTTTGACGAGTATATGAGGGAAACGAGACCATGCGTCACATGAAGGGTCCCGCACGGAACGAACCATCAGGGTCACAGGATAGGCGTTCGGGCACGGGCAAGCAGTCATTTTTGCGCGTTAATCATAATCTTTGATTTTGACGGTCTCTATATACCGAGCTTCATTTTACCCGTAACGTCCATCGCCGCGTTAAAAAAAAATTTGAACCATCTCGCCAATTAACCAATTTCTACCCATTTATATAACCGCTTTAAATGATCTGCTGGAAAGCACGGTTGATAGGAGAGCGGACGTTGGGAACGCTCTTCCAGAAGTCGACGGTGGCAACCGCACGCTTGGAGATGCCCTCGGGGGTGAACTCGAACTTCTGCAGAGATTGTTAGCAAATATTGCAAGAAATGGCCATGATGAGTTGAACTTGCCTTGTAGACGTCCTTGTAAGGTCCGGAAGCACCGAAGCGGTTGATACCGAACTGCTCGTGGGAGAAGCGCTCCCAGCCGAGAGTGCTCATGACCTCAACGGACATGATGGGGTGGCCGTCGGGAAGGACGGAGAGCTTGTACTCCTTGGACTGGGCCTCGAAGACCTCAGTGCAGGGCATGGAGACGACACGGGCAGTGAGGTTGTGCTTCTCCTTAAGGTACTTAACGGCATCAACGCAGATGCAGACCTCGGAACCGGTGGAGACGAGGGTGACGTCGGCGTTCTCGGCCTCGTGCAGGACGTAACCACCCTTGATGGCCTTCTCGATGACGGAGCCCTCAAGCTGGGGCAGGTTCTGGCGAGAGAGGGCGATGATGGAGGGAGTGTGCTTGGAGGTCAGGGCAACGTAGTAGGCGGCAGAGGTCTCGTTACCGTCGGCAGGACGCCAGACCATGTTGTTGGGGAGGGCACGGAAGTGGGCGAGGGTCTCGATAGGCTGGTGAGTAGGGCCGTCCTCACCAAGACCGATGGAGTCGTGGGTGGCAACCCAGATGGCGCGGACCTGGGAGAGGGCGGTAAGACGGACGGCACCGGCGGCGTAGGAGACGAAGTTGAGGAAGGTACCGCCGTAGGGGAGGATGGTGCCGTAGGCAGCGAGACCGTTCATGATGGCACCCATGGCGTGCTCACGGACACCGTAGCGGATGTAGCGACCAGAGTAGTCACCAAGGCCGGTGGAGGGGGCCTGGAAGTCGACGGCGGCCTTCCAGCGGGTCAGGTTGGAGCCAGTCAAGTCGGCAGAACCACCGACAAGCTCGGGAATGACGCTCTCGATCTTGGCCAGGACAGTCTCGGAAAGCTTGCGGGAAGCGATGGCAGGGTCGGCGGGGGTGTAGACGGGCAGAGCCTTCTCCCAGCCCTCGGGGAGCTCGCCGGTGAGACGGCGGTGGAGGTCCTTGGCCTCGTTGGGGTACTTCTCGGCGTACGAGTTGAGGAGCTTGTTCCACTCCTGCTCAGCAGCGGCACCCTCGGCGGCGTGCGCGTTGTACTGGTCGTAGACCTCCTGGGGAACGACGAAAGACTGCTCGGGGTTGAAGCCGAACTTCTCCTTGAGCTGCTTGATGTCGTCAGCCTTGAGGGGAGAGCCGTGGACACCGTGGGTGCCCTGCTGGAGGGAGCCGAAACCAATGATGGTCTTGAGCTGGATGAGGGTGGGCTTGTCCTTGGACTTCTGGGCCTGAGCAATGGCCTTCTCGATGCTGTCGAGGTCGCTGTTGCCGTCCTCGACGGTGAGGACCTCCCAGCCGAAGGCCTCGTAGCGCTTGACAACGTCCTCAGTGAAGGCGACGTTGGTGTCACCGTCAATGGAGATGTGGTTGTCGTCCCAGATGGCAATCAGGTTGCCGAGCTGGAGGTGACCAGCCAGGGAGGAGGCCTCACCGGAGACACCCTCCATCAAGCAACCATCACCGAGGAAGCAGTATGTGTAGTTGTCGGAAACGGTGAAGTTGTCCTTGTTGTAGACGGCGGCGGTGTGAGCCTGGGCGATGGCCAGACCAACAGCGTTGCAGATACCCTGACCGAGAGGGCCAGTGGTGACCTCAACACCGGGGGTGTCGTGAGCCTCGGGGTGACCGGGGGTGATGCTGTCGACCGTCTTCGGAGGGGTAAGCAATTGCTTGGGCATTGAACGTCACTAGACACTTACGCGGAACTTCTTCAGGTCGTCGATGGAGACGCCGTAGCCGAAGAGGTGGAGGAGGGCATACTGGAGCATGCAGCCGTGTCCGTTGCTGAGGGATTGGTCAGCCCATGGGTCCAGCGGAGATGTGAGCTCGGAGATCGAGTGAGGGACTTACGAGAGGACAAAACGATCACGGTTCGCCCACTTGGGGTTCTTGGGGTTAAACTTCATGAACTTGTTGAACAGAACGTGGGCGACCGGCGCCATACCCCTGGAGACGGCTTGTCAGTTTTCTGTTCGGGGTTCTCATCAAAAGCGCGCATCGTGGGGGAGTACATACATGGGCGCACCGGGGTGGCCGGAGTTGCTGTTGAAGGTGGCATCGACCTGGAGTGAACATTGTCAGCCGTAGCTCCGGTGAAGCTGCTTCTCGCGATGGCGATTGCGTGGTTGCGAGCAGTCCTCATCATGCCACCGCCAATGGGCTGGCAATGGCGGGGTCGAGAGACAAATCTCAACAACAACAGTGGCGGGGTAAAATCTGGCGGGGAGGATGAAACTCACGGCCAACAGGCGGATCGTGTTGATCGCCTTCCAGTCTTGCTCGGTGTAACCCATGGTGTCTGATTTCTGCGTTCTTCCAAGAGAGAAACTCGGTCAAGGAGGAAGAGGAGATGGATGGGAAAAGGTAGAAAAAAGTTGGGAGGCAGCGGTAGAAATACAAACGGGACGTCTGAGAGAGGAGACGGAGAAGGGGCGGTGGTATGTGTCTACTGCATGCACCTCAGTCTTTGGCCGCAAGGCAATTATTGAGCACCTGGTGGGGACCTTGACGTGGGAGTGGACAGTGGAACATGGAGGGGTGAGGTACATTGACTGCACCTGTGCTTGATGGAGGGGGATGGAGGGGCAACACCTCAGACGGGCAGACAGAGACAGAGACAGAAACAGACCACCCACTGCCGCTGCCTCCCTCACACCAGACGTGGGCTGGACGTGCAGGCCACCATGGAATGTGTTCCGAAGCATTCTCTCCATGTTTTGGTGTGTTGACTTCTTCCATCTCAGGCAAGGCAGTGCGCCATACAGCATCTTCCATTACCTACTTTTCCCCGGGAGGCACCTCACGTAAGTGCCCTACTTGGCAAGCCATCGTCAAAGGTAAGCTCGAGCCACAGCATCGGAAAGAGCTTCGTTCGCAGTGGAAGGAGACCTGGGACAGCAGCCAGAGGTACATCTCGTTAACAGCTAACGTCATACCACGACGGGGTACCTCGAGCTCTGTCGACTGTCACCAGCTAGCTTCCTAGCCTGTAGGTAGGTAGGTACCTTGAGGTAAGGTAGGTAGGTGCGTTGCACGGCGGCGGGATGCCCGGCGGCATACCGCCCCCCGGTGCCGCTTTCCCCCATCCCATGGAACTCGCCCTCGACGTCCATTGATGCACCTTACTCTTTCCGCTCCCAATCTCCCGGCTCAATCCAATATTCCCAGGGCAGAAACTGGCATCACCACCAGGGGGAAAAAGTCACGCATATCCCGTTCTTCCAGAAGCACCCCCATCGTGATACAATCTTCACATGAAGTGGGGGTACACTTGGCCTGTCGTGTTTTTTTAACGCTGTTCCCCAATTTTCCGGTCTTGTCCTTGGCCGGCAGGACGGCGGTGCAGGCTTCAGCTCGTCTCAACCATCTTGAACGCTGTGGACTGACCTTGCCTGGATGCGTCTGTATGAAATGCTGGCAGTTCTTGCCCCTCTCCCAGGTCTCCCGTGGCTGGCCCAGCCCACCGCCATTGGTGGCTTTCGCCCAAGTCACCATCCAAAAGTGGTGTACTTCACCCGCCGACGACAGCGAATTTCGAATTCCAATTCACCCGGCAACCCCTGCGAGGCAAAAATGCCCGGCCCAAATTCAACCTCCCGTCTGCGCTCTCGGTGCTTGTACCGACTGACCCTACCGACGTCGGTCTGACACCTGGAAAGGCAATCCCCCTCGACGAATCATACCGCCATCGCCCGTTGTAGGGCATCTTTCTCAGTCAGCAACCACTAGACGTATCACATTTTTTACAGTGACGTCTTTTTCGACATTCGCAAGAGTCAGTTCATGTCGATGAGCTTCACTCGATGCCACTGTTGACTCGTGCGAACGACCAACGGCTCCGATGGATCGTCATCCAGAAAAACTGTCGTCATAATGCCCACAACGCGTCGCCTGGGTCCCCCTTCGGTATCTCTCCTCTGGCAACTTCGGCTTCGCCTTGACTAATCCATGGAGCACTGGAGACGTTCGAACGTGCCTGGATCGTCGATATCAATTCTGTTTGGGTATCTCCGGCCCACACCGGAGTGAGCTGGAGCAAGCACGCTGGAGTCTGCAAGGCCGATGCCCCTCCGCCTCCCGCCAGTAGGCTCTGTCTATTTATTCACTCACGATGCTGCCGCGTCGGCCATAGGCCCAGAGACCACCGGACTTTAAGCCTCGTCTGAGGTACACCGTCGCTCAGGGAGAGCCAAGCGCCGAAAATACCCTTCTGCGAGACCTTTGCCAGGACCTCCCAGCGCTTCCCGGGCCCCTTACTGCGACTGCCTCTCGCTCGCGCTGTTTCAAGCCGGCGACGCGGATAAGCTCTGGCCCCTCCCCATCACCACGCCCGCCTGGCATCCCCTGGTCGAATCTCGTGCTGAGATCCAGTCATGTTAGTGGACCCTGACTGCATAATGACACCTTCGTGTCCCTATGGTTGAGTCCTGGCCCCTCTGATTTTTTCCCTCGTCTGAGGTCGCAGCCTTTCCTACTGAGGGATTGCCCCTCCAACGACCCCTCCATACAGGCCGCGCCTCGCGTCCCAAGATGCGCGACATCCGTGGCATGGCCAAGAATGAGGACAGGATTCCGAGTCTCGACAGAAACTCTGTTCCTGAGTGATGGCAAACGGTGGCCAAATGCTGAAGAATCCTCTTCTTCGCTGGACATCCGCGCCAAACATACAAGTGCATGCAGGCAACAGCCGCCGGTGCATCAACTGCAGAGATAGGAGGAGAGAGGGAAAAAAAGAATCCAAACCCTGGCGTGTATCAGGACGCGGAACTCGGGGACGGCAGAATGCACGCCGTGACCGTTAAAAATGCGCGATGCCACGAGGCCATTTTCAACCGTTTTCTGCCTGGCTGCTCACCTGCCCCAAGACTTTTTTTTTTCTCTTGACTGAGAAAGGCTGGCTGTCCTCCAATTCTCAACAGCTGTGCTCCGGCGCCGGTGAGCACGGGCCACCCGGCTGGGATACAGCCAGTTTCGTATTTATCCGCACAAATCAAGGCGGCCCCAGGCCCAAGCTCCCGCTTCCCTGCGGATGACATCAAGCCTCTCCACCCGCATATCCGCCACTCCAGCCGACAATGTATCCGTCGCCGGGTTGAGATTCAGCGGAGGAAGCTGCGAAAAGTTCTTCAGTTCGGGATAGAATATCGAGAGCCGCGTTTGCATCATCTCAGGGGCCTTTAGTTATCGAACTCGGCCTCACTTTTCGAGATTCGGCCCTACTCCTCAACTGCCGGCGTCTGCGTACGGAAGCATTCCGAGGCATGAGTTGACGTCGTCAAAGATCGACTGCATGCTCTGCACGAATCATATCAGCGCTGATACTAATGCCAGGTCCATTTGTCAAGTCGCCTCATGATTGTCGATTTTTCGTAGTATGTCGGTGCATCACGAGGCTTCACTCGGTCTCAGTTGGTGAGAGTGAGCTCTCATGTGTATTCTCACCTCACACTAGTTAGTGTCTGTCACTCAACCACAGGTGAAAGCGGGCGGTGTGGATCCTGCCCGATTGAGTTTTCGCCTTACCCAGACCACAACCACCATCAGCCTCCAAACTTCAAGATAGCTTCCACCATAGCCAGAATTCAATCTCACATATCAGCACCACGGAGTTTATTTCAGCCTCGCCCGTGAACTACGCCTCTCACAACCTCAAGCCTCGAGTTCGTCTCGTCTCACAACACAACCACCCATTACCCCGCCACAAACCCCTCCACCCCTCCCAATCTCAACATCACAAGCATATCAAAATGCCGAGAGAAAAGAACATGTCCAGGGACAACATGTCCATGCCCAAAAAGCAGGCCAAAAAGCCCTCCAAACCACAAAAGCAAAAACCAAAGCAGCCACCCAAACAGCAGCCCACACAATCCTCATCCTCATCCTCTACTGCCGCCGCCGCCGTCCCCTCGCTGCCCGTCCCTCTCCAGCAACGCCTCCTCGACACCTTCAACGCAGCCTTCTCCCCCGTCCTCGCCTCCCCATCCTTCCCCGCCCTTCTCCAGGAGGTCAAGGCCGCGCTCTACGCCCGCGACTTCGACGCCGCCTTCGCCAACGCCGCCCCGGACTCCCTCGACGCCTACGCCGCCCGCTGGAGCCCCACGCGCGCGCTGGGCTACGCCGGCGTGCTGCTCGCCGTTGGGGAGTACTTGGAAGAAGCGCATCTCGCCCGGGACGGCGCCGGCTCCGATGATGGGGCCGCCGCCGAGCCGGAGGCCGAGGAGGAACCCGCCGACGGCAAGCCGGAAACCCAAACCCAGGCCCAAAAGACGATCAAGATGCTCTCCATCGGCGGCGGCGCAGCCGAGATAGCTGCCTTCGGCGCCTACCTCTCCACGCACGCCCCGTCTCTCGCGGGACACATCCACCTCCTCGACTCGGCCCCGTGGGGCCCCGTGGTGAGCAAGCTCCAAGACGCGCTCGCCACGCCGCCGCCGCTCTCGAAGTACGCCAACGCGGCCGCGAGAGCCTCCAACGCAGCGCTGCTCCCCGCGTCGCACCTCACAGCGACCTTCACGCAGCGCGACGTGCTGTCCATGTCACGCGACGAACTGGGCTCCGCGCTCGGCAACGACGTATTATTGGTCACATTACTATTCACCCTCAACGAGCTCTACACCTCGGCGGGCATCGGCAAGACGACGGCCTTCCTGCTGAACTTGAGCGCCACGATCCCCTCGGGGAGTCTGCTGCTGGTCGTCGACAGCCCCGGGAGCTACTCGGAAGCCGCCGTGGGGAAGGAGTCCAAGAAGTACCCCATGCAGTGGCTGCTGGACCACACCCTCCGCAAGGACGAGAAGCCCGTGGAGGGGTGTCTGTGGGAGAAGGTCGAGTCGCACGACTCCGTGTGGTTCCGGCTGGCCGAGGGTCTGCGCTACCCCATCTCTCTGGAAAACATGCGCTATCAAATGCACCTCTACCGCGCCACAAGACCCTGAACGCCGGCGAAACAAAAGGGATAAACATGAAAGGTCGGATATCTATGAATGAAAAGGAAAAAAATGCTTCTATGCCCATACAAGTCTCTTGATGGAGTAGCTCAGGTGGTCTAAAAGCCCGGTGCTCTGTCTCGCTTCCTCCAAGGAAATGATATCGCCCTTCTCAATGATGCTCTCGGTGCCGGGCCTCTCTTTGCCCGGCTGGCTGAGGAATGCCAAGCGCTCGACTTCGGCGCAGATGCTGACGACCTGCTGGATCTCGCTCATCTTCGGCCCGTCCCCGGTGACTGCCGCGGAGGACTGGGAGTACGGCGCCTTGAAGGCGACCTTTCGGATCGGCGGGGCCTTGGGGCGACCGCCGCCGAGGAGGCTGCTCAAGGCAGACTGTGCAGGTTGTGCTGCGTGAGGATGCTGGTGCTCCTCGGTGCTCGAAGTCTTGCTGCGCTTGACGCCCAAGTTGGAAAACGTTCTGGTGTTGGTCCTGGTGACGTCGTTCTTGCCGGGTTGGTACGACACCACGAAGCCGACGTTCTTCGTCTCGTCCGTCTGGCCCGGGGAGACGGTCGAGATGATGTACGTGCCAAATTTGATGCCTACGACGTGCGCGAGGTCGATACGCTCAAAGGAGGAGACCTTGTCGAGGTTCCAATCGAAGCGGCAGAGGTACAGAGCGGCGTCGGTCAGGAGAAGGACAACCTCTTCGAAGGGAAGAGATCGCAGATTGTCGGATGTGTGAGGGCTGAAGAGAACCCAGCCGCCCATGAACTCTTCGCTCTCATCTGAGATGACACGTCTTTGGGAGAGCTCGATGGCTTGTTCTCGCATCTTTAGCATGGAAACGGCGGGGTCCTTGGTCATCATCTCGGCTTCGAATTCCTGGAAGACCATGGAATTGACGTTGCCGAGCAGGAAATCGATGGCAGCTTGGCTAAAGTAGTCATTGACCATGCTGGGCTTTGTTAGCGAGCGAAAGATAAAAGAACGAATAGAGCTTACCCGTTGTAAAAGCGTGTCATTGAAAGACCAAGATCATTCAGAGCTCCGCCGAGGTTCCTCTTCTTCGTCCTCGTGTAATCGCCCTTCATAGCGGCTGTTGATGCGTACTGTTTCGAAATGGCGTCTCCGTTGTCTGCCCACAGCGTGTTGAACCAAGGGGTCTGCTGGTCAACCTGGGCAGCAAGATCATATCCTTCCGCCTTGAGCTGACTCTCCAACATGTACTTGCCGAACGAGCTCTGGCAGACATTTGTTCTATCCAGGCAGTCCATGCAATTGGTGCGAAGAACGCCCTGCTGTTTTGTCGAAATCTTGCCGGCTTCTTCAACAGTGCTGCCGAAATTGTCCAACTTGTCGCGGAGATCGTCGAGAAGCAGACTGACGTTCTCAAATTTCATTCCACGGCATGCAGCATGAAAATCGAACCATTCAAAGGGAACCGCGGCATTCTCACCCGTGAAGACTTCCTCGTTCAGCCTTTCCACCGTCTTCTCGTACTGGCCTCCAACCGTCGACTCCACACCGTGCTTTTCCACCAAGTTGACGATCTGCAGGCCGCCGTACTCCGTCGTCAAACGCTCGAAATGCTTCTTGGCTGCGGCATAGTTTGCTTCGGGTGAGTGCTGGATGAGGGGCGCAGGCTTCAGGGAATATGGCGACTGAGTGAAGAATAGTGGAATACTACCGCGAATCTGAAGGAACGAGTAAATCTTTGAAGACTTGTCCCAGGTTGTGCTGGACAGAATCTGCTCTGTCTCGACGGCGTTCGCGACATATCCCTGCTCGTCGATGCCGCGTCTGAGATATCGCAAACCAGCTCTTTGCGTAGACCGGCGTGAGATCACGGTCAGGAGGAACTTCTTCTCAGTAGGGCGAAGATCGATAGAGTCCCGGACGGTTTCCGTCGGCGGAGAAGTTGGTTCGGAGCTGGGCTGTCGGATTGTTGACATCTCTACAGAGTCTCCAAGACTATCGTCTGTCTGCGGAGGACTGCTGTCCACTACAAAGTGCCGCTGGCCAACGAAGCCCTGCATTAGGGGTAGCAGAAGTGACTCTTCTCCGGCTTTCATGAAAGGCCTCAGAGTATTCTTGTTCCAAAAGAACATGGGATCGACGCGGGTGTGCAAAGGCACTTCGTCAGACTGCAACCTCGAGTCATTTGCCCATCGCCGAGTGATGTCGACATCGTACGAGAAGTAGAAGCTACGCGATGACCCAAAGAAGATCTGGGTCATTCTGAGGAGCTTTGGAAGCAAAGTCGACGTCGGCACGGGTTCGTCGGAGTCGTCTATGGCTGAACTAGAGGCCGCATTGGCAGCGGCAGCTTGATCGACGGAGCGACGAACCTGGTCCGCAGTGCCGCTCCATCCTGCATTCCTTTTCTGATCTTGAGTCCATCCACTCTTACTGAACCATCTCTGCGCGAACCTTCCGTAGCTACCTCTTCTGCCAATTACATCCTTTGCGACAGTGCTTTTAACAGGGTCGGCTCCATTCTTGGTCGGCGCATGATCCTCGACTTCGTCACCGCTGGCAGGGAGCTCGACGAAGTCGTCGCTGTCGCTATCGTCGGCGTCCTTATCTGTCTTCCTCTCCTCGAGGTGAAGTGCCGTCTGTGCGATTGCATCGCTAGCGTCCTTCTGGGAGGCGCAAGGGGTGACGGCAACTTCGGTGACGACGTAAATCGGGCAACCACAAATCTGCGCAACCTGCTGTCGTCGGGTAATCGTAATCAGGTAGCTGAGTCTCGAGACCGTGATCAGTCCTGGTCGTCGGCCATGGTCAGCTTCGGATTTGCGCAGCTGGAGCTGTGGCTGGGGAGCTCGGGGCACAAACCTATAACGCCGAAGGCCTCAAACGAGGAGTTTGGCTGAGAAAGATCGGGGATCTGCTCGCGATTTGCAGGGGTTATTGCAGAGTCGCCATATTTGATCCTGACCGGTTGCGCGGGGCGTTGTCCTTTGGTCACGAATGGCTGGATTATCAGGCCGTCAACCGCAGCGCAGATGATGATCTTGCGTGCGATACCGGGCATTGTGCGATGCGGGACCACACAGGGTGTGCGCGCCAGAAGACGACGGAAATTATTCTAGGGAAAAGTCGAGGCCGGTAAGACTGCATGCAAAAGAGCCATGGACGGGGAGTAGTGCTAATTATTTGTCGGATTGGACGGATATTCAAACATTAACAATGTTGGTCTGTAGGTGGATTGGCGAGCATATCGCATGCAGGGGCGGAATGAGACGTTTTGGGTGCTGCGAACTGCTGATGATGTCGCCCAAATGGAACATGTAGCTATGACATGGGTGGTGGGCCGCGGGGTAACGTCAGTCTGCAGTTGCCCAGCGCGAGTCCAGGTCACGCCCGAGACACCGGCCCGATGAGTGGCTCAATGAGGTGGTTTGTCAGGTCAGGCCAGGTGCATCTGGTCCAGCGCTGTGTCTTCCAATGGACCATCGTCTGCTAGTGCTGGTAGGGTCGTTGCTGCGTTCTGAGCCGTCATTCGCTCGTGGGCAACTCAGCACATCTGCACTGGAGCTCAAGCTTTCCGTCCAAATGTCCCCATTTCTTCAGCTGAGGCATTGGACGCAGGCAGGCTGCCTCCGTCCCTCCCAACTCAAGCTTTCCCACTAGCTCATCCCGACTCATTTCACTTGTAGCTGCATATTCAGGGCACATTGCATTTCAAGTTTTTGACGATCTCGATTGACGCTTGTCCGCGGTTTGTGCATGGACTAACCATGCACTAGACCCCAAGAATAACTAGTCGACGCCTATCAACAATTGAGACTATTTTTCAAGTATTCAGGCTGCTGCAGCTTGACATTGGACCAAAGATTTCTGTCCGCCTTAACCACTAACATCCAAACTGTTTCCAGCGCGTGTCCAGTCAAACATCAACGCCACCCAATATTCTTTGTCATGGGTATCTTAGATGGCGAGTCTCTCGACCTTGTCCTTCAGAGCGCGGATGGGGCCGGCAAGCTCGCTGCCCTCGTTGGAGGTGATGGAAGCGGCAATGACGGCGCGGGAGACACCGCAGGCGCGGCCAAGGGCGGTCTTGGACTTGACGTAAACGTAGGGGACGTTCTTGTCCTCAGCCAGGAGAGGCAGGTGAAGAACAATGCTGAGGGGGTTGGTATCCGCGGCGAGGACGATAAGCTCGGAAACACCACGGTTGAGGGTCTTGGTGGCCTCGTTGGCTGTAAGAAGAAAGTCAGCAGCTGTTCGGTGGAGGCCAAGGAAGGGACGCAGCTGGTGGCTTCAGAGAGACAGGAGGAGTCAAGGGAGTGAGACGGCTCGGGGACAAAACTTACCGCCCTTCTTCAGCTGGCGGTAGTGGGTGCACTGCTGAACCATGTCCAGAATCTCCTGCTGGAGAGCATCGTCGGCCAAGGGCCAGGCAGCGGACTCAGACATTGTTGCGGTGAGCGTCGAGAGATGTCTGGGAGAAAAAGTCAGAGTCTGTTGATACAATCCCAAGCAGGAGCATTAGAGTGCTGCGTACCAAAGATATAAGGTGCAGGGTTCCTTGCGGTGGCTCGCCCTGGTCGTGAGGTCGAAATTCGTGATGAACGCGATGAAGAGATATCCAAAACTTTTTTCCTCCGAAAAGCGTAAGAAAAAAAAAATCCCACTTCCCCAAGCTTAACGGCAATTGCCGTTGGAGAGTGGATCTTGATGCGACTGGAGTGGAGCTCTTCGGAACGCAGGTTCTGCCGTGCACCGCCTCATTCCATCAGGTGCCTCTCCTGACTTACGTAAGTGCACGGAGCTGTCAACGCGCCGCAAAACCTTGCAACCAACCAGAAGGCCAACCTGGAAACCAGATCTTAACACAGCACACCTCATCTCGAGCCGTCGCCGAAGCAGCAGTCGAACCTCGCCCGTCCCAACCAGCCATCACCGCAATCGTCCGCAACCCACTCTTCGCCGCATCTCCTTCAGTTCCCGACCCTCTCTTCAACTTTTTCTTTCGACTACTCCGTCTTCGACGTCAATTA